GAGTTGGAGCTCCTCTGGTTCTCCACCTAACTCTGTCCTAGCCCTACCCTGCCCTGCAGGCCCTAACAACTTCCACAGCAATTTGTAGTGATGCAAGAGGTAAAAATGAGCACTGAGGAGCACTCATGGGACAAGGGGCTGAGTGTGCCCTACTCCGCATGCTGTGGGGTGAGCCCTGCCAGGATTTCATCGCTGGTGGCAGGCCGGAGGGCAGCCATGCTTGTGCCTGGGTCCTCTCTTTCTGAGCAAGTGGGAGAGAAGCTCAGGGAGCAGGATGCTGGACCGCTCGGACGTGCTCTCCCTCCAAGTGGCACGCACAAATTCCCAAGCCCTGCTCTGCCCCCTGGCAGGGATGACTGGAGGAGTAGTGGCAGCGTGAGCCACAGCTGCCTGCTGCTCCATATTTCAGACATAGACCTAGGCCTCAAGCTAATGTGAACCCAAAGCCAACAGCGTTGATTAGGCGTGGCCTGCAGTCATAAAAAGCCAAGAAAATGAGCAGTCAGGAGGAGCTGCAGCTGTAAGAGTGTGTTTTGCTCTCAACAAATGTGTGTGATGTATATTGATTTTAATGAGAGAGAGCTATACAGGTGCATCGATGACTTGGGATTTCAAAATATTTGATTGTTTTTGTTTCAAGGCTAATGGCTGAATTTTCCACACTGCCTTTCTTACAAAAATAAAGGCATTGAGTTAACTAGTTAAGTCCTTCCCCATTTGCAACATGGCAGCAGAGGATTGCATAAAGACAAACACATCCTGTAAGTAGTTCTTAGCTCCCTAAATACACATGTAACTCTAATGCTATTATATTTCACAGAAGTCATGCGTTTGTCAGCATAAATGTGAAAAAGTGATGTCTAGATGAATCTCCTATCGTCTTACGTTGCAATTAGATTTGATTTTACAGGGATACTGCAACAGTACTACAAGGATATGAAAAGCTACTCACTGAGAACTTTGGTCTAGATTGTTAAATGAAAAATTACTGAAACGCCTTAGGCTTCAAGAGGTCCGCATCAATTGCAGTATAAGAAAACAGGCAGAGGACTTTAATATGTTCTATATAATTCGGTTAATAGTTTTAATTTTACTCTAATCATGTGGCTAAGAGATCAGTTCTTAGTAGCTTAAGCACACTATGCTGCTGTTGCTTAAATTTTGTTTTTAGAGTTGGGGAAATAGGTTAATTTTGAGAATTCCTGGACCAACAGGGAATTTGCAGAAGGACTGAGTTTTATAGCCTGGGATTAAGCAGCTGTAAATGTTCTTGGAGCAGAGTAAAACTAAACCCTAGATAATGTCTATCCTCAGCAGTATGGATACATTCACTTCCAAATAAATATAGGAAAAAAAAAAAAAAGACATTGAGAACTCACTTGCCAAGATGTGTGCTGGGTACCTGTGTGTTTAGGGAGGAATACTGTAGGCAAGCCAAGCTACAGGACTGAAGCCTTCCAGTAGCCCCTGCCGGAGTGTGAGTGACCAAAATAGAGAATTACTGTCAGCACATCCTTACAGATACTGGTGAATGACTTCTCGGAGTGCTGGTAAGCATCAGAGACTCAAGCTTCAATACCACTTGGAGTAACTGTTTCTGCCATTTGTTTGGTCGTTTCTCGGTGTGATTAAAAAAGCAGCACTCGTCTTGGGCTTTTCTGAAGTTCTCTGACCTCTGTTCAGAAAGGGCACTTCATGCTGGCTTGAATCTGGCTGTGAGAAAGTGACACAAAATAAAACTCGGAAACAGACAATTGCAAACTGTCCTTGGATGGACTGAGGGATTTACTGAAACATCTACTCTTGTAGAAATGAATGGTCCTTTGGGTGTAATATATATAACATCTAGAGTTTCAGAAACATTACAATAAATAGTGTGAGAGGGAATATGCTAACAAAAATGTTGAATATGATCCAGCTTCACAAGAACGACAGCAACATTCTGAGTTGTGTATCTGGTCTGGTCTTTCCTATGTGTTTTAACTTGGGGTAGCATCTTTTTAAGTAGTTCGGATACTTTAGATCCCATAATAAGTGCAGGATTTAGCTGTGTTCAAGTTTATGCAGGCTTGTTCTGTGCCAAAGAAAATATTTATCTGTGTGCCACCCTAACTAAGTGCTTCCTCTAGTCTATGGGTGTATGAGGTTCAGCTTGGAGTACTGTGGTTTGTTGTAGTGTGTATGGAAGAGGCGGGCTTCTAAAATTCTTTGGTTTAGGTTTAGCAGCAAGTGTTCAAACAGCCATGACAAGTCTATCATAAGTGCACTGTGGTCTCATTTGCTTTATCTTTTGTCTCGCAATCTGAATTTCTTTATTTCGTTGTTGACACACAAAGGGTCTGAATATGGGCTACTGGTTGCTTGCTTTTGACCGCAGTGGGCAGCTGGTTTTGAGGACGTGCTTTAGCAGGTTAGTTGGCTGATTTTTTTAGAAATATATCTAAGCTACAGTGCAACAAGCTCTGTAGAGTTTTAGAGATTTTTAGAATTTGTAGAGTTGTAGGTCCCACCCTAACTGGAAACTACTTTGTTACACAGCTTCAAAAGGGGAATTTTTAGGGATCTAAGAATTGTCTTAAAAGTATAAATGTCTGTGGCACTGAGGGGAGGTTAGGATTATCTTTTTTTTTTTTTTTTTTTTTTCATTCCCTCTCCTTCTCTATATTTTTCTGTTTAGGGAGCCAGTGTACAAGCCTAAACCTAAGATTTTCAAAAGGCAAAAGGAAAAATATATATATATATTAACTAAACTTAGCAAAGCCTGGAGAGCAATCAATCCTTAGGAATATTTAACTGTATGCTGGTGATTTTTAAAGACTTTACGACATCTTTGAGTCAACATCTGCACAAAGCCCTATCAACTTCACTGTGGCTCCTGATAGTTTTGACAACTATTCCAATAACACCGTATAAGATAAAACTGAGATTAAAGTCTAGATCATGACATGGCTTTACCTCTGGCATGAAAGTCTTTGTTTTTTTTTCTGTAGAGGGATGTGGTTACAGATTTCATGAATCCAAATAAACAAAGGCAAGAATCTAAATTATTATTATTATTATTTCCTCTGTTCTCAGTAGAATAGGGTTAGGATTTCACACCAGTCTCTTCTTCTTATATAAAATTCTAAAAATATTTGCAAGAAACAGGTGAAAAATGTGGAATATTTTTCTACCTTCGTTATACGTATCTTATCTATTGGTAGTTGTGTAAGTGTATCTGTAATAACGATAATAAAAAAATTGTATTCCAGTTTCACAAGTCCTTTAGATAGATTTTTTTCTTCCTTTTTTTTATTGTTAACACTGAACAAGAGTATCCCTTCCAACCTCTTTGAAAGTATTGTTCATTGAAGTTATACTTTGATCTTCATAGCAGAAATAGTATTGCAGTGTTGAGTGTTGGAAGTATATGGAAGAGGTCGAAATGGCATTTTCATCTGTTTTCTACCTAGTATGTGAGATGCTTAAATATAAGCATAAAAATACGGTCCATTATAATCAAATATTTAATTTTTGGTATCCTAAAAATCTGTGGAACATCAAGTACTTTCTATTAAACAAAGTGAAATAATCATTTTGAAAGAAACATCAAATACTGTTAGGAATGCCTTAATCAAAATGATAAAACAATATGAAAAGCTTCTGACCAACAAGCACAACTGCAAGATGCATGACTTGCAGTGAACTCCTACCTCTGTTTTGCAGATGTGTTTGTGCTTGGATTAAGTGAATAACGCTTAGTCAATTAAAATTTACGAGTATTTGTGACAATGAGGTCTATATAGTAGCAGACGTGGAATAAAGTGTTATAAATATGAATTCTAGTGTTTCTGTGGCTTCCCTGCACAATGGCCTCATCTGCTTGCAGAGCAGTGGGAGGCTTGGGTGGATAGAGGCTGCTCACTCACCACTTTGCTGTGGGACACAGAGCTGGGGTTGTGACTGGACGTTTGGTTGAGGGTCTGTGTGGAAAACACATTACATGGTGGAAATATGCACAGAAAGAGGTCTGCAGGGTTTGCCCACGTCGTGTCTGGGGTGGTTTTGTGCGTAGGAAAGTCTTTGTGGGCTTTGCTTGGTGTTGCAGTGTTTAGACTTGGGTTTTGTGCTGAACTGGTGTGGATGTAAATGAATATTCTGCAAGATTTGAAGGAGAATATATGGTGCAATACTGTAAAAAATACATGAATAGAAATCCTTTATGCAAACCCTTCCTTTCTAGGAACAACTTTGTCTTTTGAAACTGTTGTGACCTGAGAAATGCAGAGAAAAGAGAAATCCAGTCCCTGTCTGTGGGTAATCTCTCTGTTTTAAATCAGCGCATTACTGAATGGAAGGGGCTCAGTTACAAGGTACCTTTGTGTTGCCCGCGTGCTGCAGTGCCCTGAAGGTTAATTAGTTTATCTTCTTACACAGCTAACAGGAGATAGAGGGGAGACAATTTATAAGTTGTTACCTGTCCTGAGAATTTTGGGCATCTTTGAGAAATAAGGCACGCTCTTGGGGAAATTGAAAGTGTTCTTTAAGCATTAATAGCTATTTTATAAAACACCGTAGACTCATCTCGGCTATCATTCTTTAAGAAGGCTATCAAACTGGTTTCCTGAAATCCTTCATATATTGAATCAGTCGAGGCAAAATAAGGCTTGCCCGTGAGTATGGAGGGTTGGTATTCCCCTGAACAATCTGTTTCAGCCCATTAACTAGATGAAAATCCTCTTGCTGATGGGCCATAGCTTTGAAAATAAGCCCACCTCATGAATAGTTCTGGCATAAAATTTCTAAAAAGGCTCAGTTAACGCTTTTTCACAGCAAAAATAAAATGTAGACTTGATGGATTGTTTCTGAGTAAACTATGTTTTCTATTAGCACTTAATCTTTAAAGGCAGTAGGAAATGTGCTCCACACATGTATTCAAATCCTAATGCAATAAAGCTCATAAAGGCTATAAAATATTGGAAAGAAGACAGCATGGAAAGGAAATGGAAAAGTAAAGGAGGCAGAATGAACCTTTCTCTTTAATAAATCTGTTTTGCATTCTGTATTTGAACCTAGTGTAAGTAACCAGGCAACTGTACTCACATTTACAAAGTGTTGTCCTGCCCGTATAATTCTAATAGTGACATCAATACCCACAGCACTAGAGTTATAGCTCTGTTAGACATTTTTTTTTCTTGTTTTAGCTTTGTGCGATTATGATTCATAAATTCAAGTCTTATATTGTTGACCTACACAAATACTTATTCCTTTCTTGCTCCCTTTTCTCTATTACTTCCTTCTGCCGTTGCTGTTCCCTCTTCTGTTAACCATCCTTAATTTGGTCAATGGTGGCACAGTTTTTTTCCTTGCTGCTTGCAAGAAAGAGAAATGGAAAGTTCATGTTAACATAGAAAGTACTAAAAATATGAGATTTTTTTTTTTATGAGTTTATTTTAAATACTTCTAAAATCAGGCTTTATTCATCCCCTGGTTTGCCATTTTCTTATTTCTCTGGTAGAAGTGGATCCTGTTTTCCAGAAGATGATGCAATTTTGAAAGAGAATATAGTCAGTGCATAAACCACATTTTCCTTCTCATAGAAAAATAGCGGAAAGAATCTAGAAAGATCATTTACTCTATTCCCATCCTGTAAGGCAGGATAAACCCTTTATTATTCCCTGCAGGTATTTATCTAAGTTTTTCCTAAAGCCCTCTCGTGGTGGGGAGGGTGCACGATGCCCATCGCCAGTTGTTGCCCTGTCCTGCTGTGCTGCGTCTGGTGCAGCAAGGGCTGGGCACAGCAAGGCTGCACTTCGTACAAAATATATCAGGATACACATGGAAGAGAAAGGCCTAGAAATAGCTGAACTGGTCATGACTTGGTTTGCTAGGACTGCTGATACACCGATGAGATGTACGTACTGTGTTTCTTTTGTTTATTGGTCTGCCTTTGTTCCTCACCTCAGAAAAATGTATTTTTTTCCCCTGCATTCACATTCTCTTGAATACTCAAGGGACAGGTACAGTAAAAGCTGACCAACAACCACCTTGTTTATCATCTTAAAACCAAGGTAGTGTGAATGCATGTGTGTGCTGAGGGCGTGAACCAGTTTGTTTGTTTTAGTCGCAGTGGATGGGCCCGCTACGGTTGCTGCCGCAAGCACTCGTCAGAAGGGTGTTATGTTCACTACCTCATGTATGGATGCCTGTTTGTGTATTAACTTTCCTTCTTAATCAAATAGTGTGGTAAGATTGTTAGAAAGGGGTAGAAATATCAATCCTGGGGGAAAATACGAATTCAGTAGTTGAACTGCTGTTAACTTCAGCGGGCCAGTGTTTCACCTCAGCCGCCATCTTCAGCAGGCCAATGTTTCACCACAGTGTCAGACACTTCGATATTGTGTCAAGGATATCTGCCCCCAAATTATTATTATTTATTTTTTTCTTTTCTTTCTTTCTAAACATTAAAGACATTAAATAATTTCTTTACCTTACAAAAAAAGCTGAGCAATTACAGTGAGATATCCTGAGCAAGCTAAGTTCCCTTTGTCAATATAGCTGAGGCCTTCCCTGACTTCAGGGGGTAGGTAAAGTCTCATGCTCCTTGACTATCCAGGATTAAAATAAATAAATAAAAATTGAGATTTTCTGGCAAATGTAAGTTTAATGTATGACATTATATCAAACATTTACCAAACATCTGCTAAGGTTTTTACATGGGAAACAATATCCTGTGTAAACGGATCCCTTCAGTCCTACTTTATAGCATGTGTAAAGTCACAGGCACTTTGTTTCACATGGGTGTATGTACAGTTTCTAAGCAGTAAAGAATATAGTATTGTAGGTTTTAAAAAAAATAAAATCTTTTCATCAGCGGCCCTTTTCCTCAGCATTTCCCTACTGAGAAGGGAAATTCTCCACAGACCTATCCATGCTGTTGGCATGCCAGTGCCCCATCTGCTCGAGGTACTCCCTTCTGCAGACCACCCGAGTGTTTCTCCCATCACTCCCCGTCTGAAACAACTGAGGCAAAATTCTTGTGTTTAAGCTAACAGACAAATTCCAGTACATTTGCTTACCTTAGGGTTTATCTTATTTGGCAGCTCAGCCCATAGAGGTTGATCAGTAACTAGCTTTCCTTGGAACGCATATATGTATTTTCCTCCAGGATTGATTTTAACATACGTTTAGTGTGAGTAGCTTTGTGTTTCGAAAATCCCCTGTGGAGTGGTGGTGTTTCTTTAACCATTCTCAATTCCAGTCTGTAGGCCAACTCCGTTAATTGGCACATAGTATGTACAATTCCTTTCAGCATTTCTGTTTTGCTAGGAAATAAGATGCAACTTGGGAGCAATACAATATGTAAGACCGCATCCTGAACTTAGGCTTGTTATGGTTGGTAGGATTTTTACTACAGACTTGAATGCTCTCTTCCCCAGGCCTGCCTCAAGTAAATGACTGTCAGCTTTGGGTATTCCATATAACTATCAGGTTGAAGATCAATGCTTAAAAAATATAATGATTGGGAAAAGAAAATAATTGTCCGGTGTATTTACAGTGCATTGATCCAATATTACGCTGATATTTGCAGCCAGCATTAGGTTAGTTCTTTAGACCAGAAAGGGAAGCCATGTACTCTTTTCTTAACCAAACTGAAACAATTAAAACCACCAGGAAAACTGAGCAGAGGTCCAGGCATCATGTTGTGGTAAGCTGGCTATTTTGCTTCTGGTAGTTGAGGGCATTTACTCTTAGACAATGAAAAAATACAAAGTTTACTCACTTAGGGTCCCAAGGTAAATGAGTTTAATAGTTAAAGAAAGAAGAAAGGTGGAGGTAGTTGGTGCCTGTTTGAATTACAGATTAGCATTTGCCCTTGCCATTTCAATGCGTACCTTGCTGTGGCTCTTTGTTTTCACTTAATCAGTTTAAGTTCTTAGGAGAAAGCAAACTAGCTTGACAATGAATTTGTAATAAACAATAACAATAAAATATTAATGCTATTTTTGCTGTTCTAGGTTTAAAAAAAAATAAGTTTTCATTGAGGCTTCATGCAAGATTTTCCTTAATTATTCTTGATTTTTTTTTCCTTGTACTAATGTTGAATTTAATTTAATTGAGGCATTCTGAAGAAAAGGCTGCCAGTGCTAATAACGTTACAGAACTTATTAGGTTTTGACTTGCCCATAGCAAAATCAGACTTATAGTGACTGACATAATCCAAGACCCCACACTAACAGTTTAAAAGCGAAGTATCATCCTACTTACCCAAATTAAAACTAGCTGTGAAACAGAATTGCAAGGTTTAAGTGTAAGCAAGAAAGAGATCTCCATATGGACTACAATTCGTTTTTTAACCTTTCCACCCTAAAGTTGATGCGAAAATTCTGCAAATGGGCAGTAACATTACTGATGAAGCATTGTTTACATTTCTAGCTGATACTAGTGGTTTTGGTGGATTTCTGAGCAGGGAGATTGGGATTTTGAGGTGGTGCAGTTTGGAATCTAGACTGTTTAAAGATCCAAGCTAAAAGTAGTGTCATGTTCCTATGTTTATGTTCTTGCCAATTTCTGCAGTTTCCTATTACATTTTCTTATTTTAAATAACGGAATTTTCTGTCCTTTTACTATGTGAAAAACCTCTATAAAACAAGAAAACTGATTCCTTATGCAATAAAGGGTCTTGAAAGTGCAAAGTGAACACACTTCAAAGGAAAGGAGCTATTTTTCTCTCATACATGATTTCAGTCATGTTAATTTTAACGATTAACGGTCAGTACTAAGAAATATGTGTAACAGTGTATGCTGACTATATTCTTGTGAGTTAAAAATCTGGTATATCCATTTGCTAGTGTGTTTTCCCCCCCACACCCCAAGCTAAGTGTGTGATCGAAGAACTGTTATAGGGGGGTGGAAATTTCAAACAGCACTTACTACAGATTTAACTACCTACATAAAATTTGATAGCAACTCTTACGTTGACTTAGGATCAGTTTGGTCAAACTGCACTGCTTTTGAAAATCTTACTCTTTTTTGAACAGATGTTTTGAAGTCAGGCTTAAATTTCTACCATTCCATTGATTTCAGATTCCTACTAAAAGATTGGTCCAGCATCTTATTGTAGCAGATAGATTTGTCTTTTATGTGAATGCACCTTTTGCCAGCTTGGTACAAATGAGTTTGAAACAGGAGCACTGTTCCATTTTGTGTTACCATATGAAAGTTCCTCGTATTTCATTAAATAAGACCCTCATGGATATTGGAATTCTAGTTGCTCTGATGTATGCCTGCTCTGAAGGATATGAAGGTAGTAAATGCGTGTTTGTTTCTGGTCTGACTTGGATATTTTGAAAAGTATAAGCACGCAAATTGTATTTTAATATATTTGTGAGTCCTCAACATTACCTGGTGGTATTTCCTAGCTTCATCTATCACTCAAAGTGCTTTGAATTTGATCTCTGACTTTGAACCTTATGTATGATTTTAGATCAGATAATGTACAGTGCCTATTCATTGCCTAAAATGTGGAAATGGATATCAACAGACTGAGTAACGGAGACTATTTGCCTGCATCTTTCTTCAGGTTACTGTATCTTGAAATTTCTAGGAGATTTACCTAGCTTTGGGTAAAGATCCTTCAAATCTGAAAGCATCTGGTTGCTGCTGTGTGAAGCAGGAAGCATTGGAAAGTGGTCTTTTAATCATGTCAGAACTATTTTTCATCTCTGGGGAGTCAAAAATCAACCACAAATCAGTAGGTGAGACCGTCCCGATTGCAGAGAATCTCCTGCTGGTAGGAAGAGACTGGCTTTCTCCTGAGATGGCCTGGAAAGAGGAGAGTACTTGGTCCTACTGCTCCTGCAGTGGCTCTGTCTGCTAAGTTTGGGTTTGCTACACGCTTTAAGCTTAATGTATAATGATGGTTGGAAGAGAATCGGCTCTGAGAGTCAGGGCCCTGGATTCTCCTCCCAAGTAACTTTCATCTTGTATTGGTTTTCCTTGGGACAGAAGAAAAATGAGCTCAAAAACTCTGTATCTGGCGTTACTTCTACTGAATGGATGACCTTAGGCTAGTTTGCTGAATTCCACATTCCTCTACCCTTACAGAATCCTAAAAACTACAGAAAAAAAGTGAAAAATGGTTGGAGAGAAATTGCTACATAAATATACAGTATTATTCTATGCAGCATTGGTTCCTCCCCGTATCGAGGGGAGGAGGAGGGAGGTGATGCTGAGCATACTTGGAATTATTTATCTGCCCACTCTTAATTGCTTAGTCTGATGCTGTTTACAAGGGTGCTAACTAAACAATTCCTCTCACTTGTCCCAAATGTGATGCGTGATGGTTTAGGCCTTGAATTGAATTCATTTACATGACAAATCATAGATTTAATGACTAGAGTCATGATGGTTGTAAATAAATTGAAAACCCTCATTAAATGTACACACATGGTGAAAGGAATTATTTAAAAGGAGGCATAAGGGAATTGATTTGCTAAGTAATTTACATCCTTTTTTATTCTTTGTTGTTTAGCTGTTGTAATTATGTGGTGTAATTTGTCTTCTTCAAAGGGGACGCTAGACCTGATGAGGTAGAAGGTACTGTTAAAAATCTCTCACTGCTCAAAAGGAATTTGCACTGAAAATGATAAAAGGGAGCTTTCTGGTTCTTTTTTCTTCCCCTTCAACAATCTGTCAGGGGAAAAATGCCATCACTGTTCTTGTGTTGTTTGTCTCAGATAGGAGAATGATGCTAAGGCCCATTCTTGCTGTGAATGCACGAGGAATTTACCAACCTGTTGCACACTTAAGCCTTGGAGAAATTAATGTAGGCACTTCGCAGCTAATTGTGAAGACAAAGTTACCAATGCTAATGGCAAGGTTTACCAGTGTATGGGCATTGCTACGATTCAGTGGCAGAGTCGGAATTCCCTGTGGTTTTATTGTAGGTTTCCCCAAGCAGGATGTTTAGTTGGGGGTTGTCTGAGCAGTTGTCAGCTTTCTTAGAAGAATTGTCACAAAAGCCCCCTACAGTTAGCAGCACGTAGCTCAGAAACACCTAAATGTTTGTTGGAATGGTTTCTTGTCAATGAGCACAAAGACTTTAAAACGCCACCTGTATTCTCAGCCTCTCTTTTCTTAAATTACTAATATTAACACTTCTGTTCTTAATACTCCGTGACGGGTTACCTCCAGCTGTGGGAAACCCTACAAGGGGTGGTTTCAGACCCGTTATTTTTCATGCATACAATCACCTTGTATTCTGTGTAGTTTTCATGGGATGGTTTTGCAGTGGCAGTGTGGTGGATTCTGGCTGTAGGCTGCTCGTTTGCTGCTCTCTTTTACGAATGAGCACGTAGAACTGCACAGATGCCAAAGTTTGGGTCTGGATGTATATCCGAAATGTCTGAGGTTTCTAGCCAGCGTCAGGTTCTGGTGTTACCTTTCATCTTCTGGGCACAGAAGAAAACTTTGCAGGCTTTTGGCTGCTGTGTTACTGAGAAAGGCCACGCACTGTCGGGGTAAGCAGAGTGGGCCAGTGCTCCTGGCACGTGTCCTGGTGAAGACGGCTTACTTCTCATTGCACCCCCTTAGCATGGGATCGCTCTCAAAGATAGAAAACCTGCCAGCAGATGGATCGGCCTCTCCCAGCAGCAGGTACGGGCAGCCCCAGTCTGAAGAGAGGAGGGGATTAGAGACCGAGCGGCCTTTTCATGGACCATTGATGTGGTGGGAAGAAAAAACTCTAGTGTCCTACTCCTCCTGGTTGCAAGTGATCCACAAAGGAGAGATTTGCTTAGTGCCCACGCTGGAATGCTACTGATGGCGCGTTGTTAAGGACTAAGCACGAGGCCGGGGTTAGGTAGATTTGCAGCTGTCAGGGACTGGGGCTGTAAAGCTGAGGAGAAAAGCAGATGATTTAGTTAACTTGGATTGTCATTATGATGTAGAAACGTCGAGCATCCCCCAGAGGCTGGCAATAGTCTTCCCAGCTGGTGGGACTGTAAATACAGAGCACGGTGAGCAGCTGAGGACGGACTGCACGGCGCTGTGCTGGGGGCTCCTGGCCCCTCTCAGGGCTCTGCAGTCGCGTTGGGCAGAGCAGCCGGGGCCAGGCAGGGGCAGGTACCAGGGGAGGGGAGGAAAGCCTCCCCTCAGCACGCTGGAAGGGCTCAAGTTCCCAGTAAGCGAAGCAGCTCCAAGTGGGGCTCTGCCCTCCATTCCCGGGAAGCGTGCGTGTGTTAAAAGCAAAGCTTTCTCCCCCTGACAGCTTCGCACTGAATTATGCTTTGCTGTCCTATTAAATTGCTCTGACACAGCGTACGCGCTGCACAGCAGCAGGAAAATATCCCACAAGTGTACTTGCAAAGAGAAAAGTTCAAGGAAGAGTGAAGCCAGCTCTGATTCGGTTATTTACCATCAATCAGACTCTTGCTTGGCAGGGAGTGGATGATTATGAGCCTGAACAAGCCGAAAAGGGGCAGGAAGAGAAGCGGAGGCAGCATTCTTCCTATTTAAAGCTGCATCCCCTGAAAAGAGTGTTTGCAGACCGTGCTGGCGCTGGTGCTGAAAAAAAGGGCTCGCAGACTTTGTCCTGGGACTGATGCTGAAAGACAGAGAGATTCCCCAGCTGGCTTCATGGTGCTAAAATAACCTTGCGTTTCCCTGCTTTTTGCTGCCCAGGAGGATACATGTCTAATATCTAGGCATGATGGCAATCTGGGTACAAACGAGAACTTTTTTCATCCTTGCTGCTTTACTAGGGCGATTTGTAACCATAAAAGCACAAGAAGAGGAAGAATATGACGCTGGTGAGTTTCTCTTTCTCCCTTTTTTCCTCCTCTTCTCTTCGTATGCAGCGTGCTTAGTGTGCGCTTTGGTTAATAAGCGCAATGGAAAACTTCTGGGGTACGGGAGTAACGAGATTTGTGGCTTTATACGCCGAGGATCGGGCTGCGAGGCTTGTGCTTTGGGAACCTGCTCAGAAGGCAGAGGGGATTTTAAAAGTTGGAGATTTGCAGAGTTCCCAGGTCTCCGCGCACAGTCCTGCGGACACAGGGGAGGGAGGACCGATGGGAAGCAAAAAGCAGCTGCGGGGCAGCCGGCAGTGAGCCCCAGCCCCGCTGCCTGGCAGGAGCAGCACGCAGCGCTGGGAAGTTTGCAACAAAAGAGAGCGCCTAGGGATGGGGCTGGAGGAGGCTGCGGGGCTGGGGAGCAGCCGGAGCTGGGCGAAGTAAACACGGAGGCTCCCAGGGTGGAGCCCTTCTGCGCCGAGCGACCTCTGCCTTCTTACCTTCTTTGTTTTAGAGAAGCACCAAAATGTCATTTTCCCTTTTCCCCCTTTCTTTCGTGGGTTCTTTTCCTCCTCCTCTCTCCTTCTCCGTCTCCTTCCCCCTCGGGCCCTGGCTGCGGAGGCTGTGTTTAATCCCCAGTGACAGGCTGTGATAGAACCCAGCCTTCCCTGCCCTCCTGCTTTCCCACCCCGAGCCTTGCTTGTCCCACCAGCGGCGGCTCCGTGCGAGCTGTCTGAAACGGGGCCGGCCGGCCAGCTGCCTACCTGACCCCTGCAACCTGAAGGCTGGCGGGCTCCTTTCTATCTGCTCTTACTTCACAGCGTTTCGGTGCCTGCAGGACAGCGGCTGATGGTCGGGAGACTTCCTAGCAGCCTCTCGGTGCTTTCATCAGGCTGGGTGTCGTGCTGCATGTCGGTTTCCTGAAATGTGAGCAGCCTGCTTGTAGGCTGTCCTGTAGCTATTGTACTCCTGCGCGCACTTTCTGGGCTTCTCGTGCTTAACCTTGTTGGACGTTGCTCAGAAAAGAAGCCAAAGGGCCAGCTGTGCTGCCATACAGCACAGCTTGCAGTTATTTTCTTGAATATTTTCAAGACTTTCGTTTTCCTTGTAGCTGAAGGCTGCATTGCACAAGTGAGGAGGATTCAAGTCCCGTGAATAAAACATTTACGGTTCTGCAAATTTTGTTCCACGGAGCAAAGCGGGGCTCTCCTGGCCGCACACAGCTGTGGGAGAAGTCCCATAGAGGGGGCACTTTGTATAGTCTTGGGAGTATAATTCCTGTCCTCGCCATAAAGGGAGACACATGCTGTGGATTTCTCAGATACTTAAAATGCCAGAGAAAACACTTGTGAAAATATTGACTTCAGGTTTTGGTAGCCGTTTAGCAAAAATCATACCTTTTACTGGTTTTTCTTTTATTATTATTATTACTTTTAAGGCAAATCTTATGTGGGATGTCTGTTGGGTTAAGTTATTACGTCTCACTTCTTAGTTTGTTGCTATTATGGAAATTAGGGGATGAGCCAGTAATGTAGCAACACCTTCTGGGATGTACTTCCCATATGCTGATGGCTGAGGAAACCGAGACATACGTGGTAAGCCAGAGAGCAAAATACGTTGTAATAAATTAGGGACATCTGTTTGCACTTATTTCACTTATTCATCTTCCTGTTTGGGAATGTAATAGCTTTTGTCTACCATACGTACGAGGAAGCTGCTTCTCATAAGCTCAATATATTGGAAATAAAAACATGGAGAGAAAACAGAGCTGTTTGTACTGTGAGGGGTGGCGTGCAGCGAGGAGGAAGGGAGCGCATCCTACACATCGGTCTGGTTTAAGAATATAAACAAGGGGTTTTCAGTCCTGATGGAGTTCCTGGCTGAAGCCCCAAAACGCTGCCAAATGGAGAAATTTTTGCCCTTCATTTGTCTTGGTTTCAGTACCAGCTCATGCAGAGGTCCAAGAGCAGTGTACGTTGTGTTGGACTGCCAGTGATTTTGTGTTGGCTGCTGCTTCACTCCTCCCCACTCAGTTGGTCAAGTGTCACTTGAACGTAGGTGCCATGTTAAACAAATTTCAGAGGTACTTGGGGAAACAAGTAAGGTGCTTTTGGAAGTGCAAACGAGGAAAAAAAAAACCTCTCAGACTTTCAAAAAGCATGTAAAACTGGTGCAGCAGTCATTTATCATGCCAGTGGTGGAAAAAATGAGAACAATTAGAAACTGGTTATGTCAACCACAGTGGAAGCAAGAAAGAAGTTTTGCAGAAGTATCTGACAGAGTTTATGGCAGTGAGAGTGACATCCATATATTGAGAAATAAGTCAAACCAATAAAGCAGGTAAATATATACATATATATAATAATAAAAGAGCTGTAATGCTTCTTTAAACCAGATTAACTTTGTTGTTGTTATCATTGCTGTGCTTTTAAGTAATGCCAGCTTCTATATTATTATTATTATTTTTTTCTCTTGGAACTATTGCAGGCTGATCTGTTTTGCTCAAGAGCACTTGGCTGCCAGTGCAGTATAGTTCACACACTTAAAATGCACATCAAAATGTGAAAAACAGACACATTCAAGCCTAGTACAGGAAAATTAGTTATTTTGCTCCTAGCTGTTTTAACTGTGTCCATTAAAGAGCTACATAGGAATGAAGGCAGCTCTGCAAATGCCTTTATGTTCTTTGTAGGGGCATGGACAGGCTCAGAGATGGAGTGAGTGCCCAGAAGATTGCTTAAATAGCACAATTTCAGCTGTGCCTACTTGGAAGCTCTGCTGGAGGGATCTCCACACACAGTGCTGTCTTTCCTCTTCCCTTAGGACTCAGTATAGAGGAAAGCACTCGCAGAAGCAGTGCATGCTGCTGCCATCCTTTCCCATCCATTTGGACGTGTAAATGTGATTGCTTTCTTTGACATAGTTATTTAAGAAAGCTAGAAACACACCTTGAGTGGAAGGTCTCTTGGTAACTTGGCTGAGAGCTGCAGCTGTGGGAATTGCCTCCTCCAAAAGGATCCGTCTGTGCAGAGCCCATGGGGGCATGGCAGTGGTGGCCCAGTGCCACAACCTCGTATTTCTCACCGCAGCCCTAGATTTGCCATTAGGTGCTCATCAGTTTCTGCATCTCACCTTCGTCTGAGCATGTTGTGTTGGTTTATCCTTCCCTGTCCCACTCTGGCAGTGTCAGCCCTATGTCAGCTGAGATCAGCGTGAGCCCTAGCATTGATTAAAAGTATCTGAACTAATTTCCCTCGTTCCACTGTGTGAGCAAGAACAGACAAATGAGGGTTGTCCCCTCTGAATTCATGATCCTCTCTGCCCTCTTTGAATTCGACACTTTGGAAACCAAATAAAGGAGAGATCTGGCTTAATGGAGACAGAAGCAGCTGAGCTGATTGAGTTGGGGCTATTAAAATGTCCATCAACCTGTCCCTGATCACAGAGACGTTATCTTCAGGGAGAAAAGAGGTTAAAATGTTGTACAGCCTCCTCTCTGTGACAGGTGCTGGGAATATGATGGCAAGAAGTGCACTGTAGCTGTGAGGGGGAAATTATTGAGCATCCATACCAGATGCTCCCCTGGTTTTCCTGGATCTTTCAACCTGACTGAGAGTTCCTAAGGAGAATGAGATGAAAAGGGGGAAAAAACATCTCAGTCTTGCTAGCTCTCACAATCTGAGTGAGGATCTCAAGATACCTGCTTTTTCTTTTCACAGAGTTCTAGGTCTTAGGATCATTGGCTTAAATGTGTGCCTCTGCTTTGGGTGAGAGAAAGCGCGTGTGTGTGTGCACCTGTATCAGTGTTTGTGGGTCTGATCATTGTGAATCTCTCAAAACCAGAAGTGATTATGGCTCTGAACAAGTAGAAAATGAGAATCTATTATTTATTAAAAAAAAAAAAAAACACAACACAACAAAACAACAAACTCAGTTCTTTGGGGACTGACTCACGACTTCTGAATATCTGTGGTTGGCTCCCCTGCCTGTAACAGTGTGGGAAGGAGAAATTGCCTCCAGAAGAATCCTGAGGAAGTTTCTTCCTATGAATGAGTGGACACTTGCTCAGAAATTCTGGAATCCACACAACATAAGCCATCCACATCAGCTTGGCTTTTTCAGAAGATGCATTGTGCTTGAAGAGTAATTGTGTCTGATGGTTGTTGTACAGGCTTTTTTTTTTTTTCCCCACTATTTACAAATGTAGATTATTGCCCTAGAAACCAGAATGGTCATTTCTTTCTCTCAATCTCCCATTCTCACATTTTGGCACGTGCACCGTTTATTTCTTGATGAAGTCTTTTCATCCTTGCAATTTGTTTCAATACGGTAGCATTCCCTCGGGTCCATTTGGTCACGTAATGCACTGCAGGGTTGGTTCTTTTTAACAGTAACGTGTATTAACAGAAAACTTTTTTTTTTTTTTTTCAATTTAGGTTAGCTTTTTAGAAGTTTTCTGAAAAAAATATTATAAACCTCAATTTATAATAAATGTGCCGATGGAAACTTTGCTTAAGAGCAGTACCTGGTGTGTAAGTAGTATCTAGCCAGATTTCTCTCCAGCCTAGCTGGAAGTTATATGCTTTGTCTGTGGTTAGAAGTAGAGCTGGTCAACTCACTAGATTTTACTTGGTTTTCAGTGTTTTGTGAGAAAAGAAACGCAGGGATACTTGTGTGTATGTGTGGGTTTGCCTCCAGTTCCTCTGGAGGCAAACCTTTATGCAACGCTACAATCCTTTAAAAAAAAACAGAGCAGATGTTCGTGGCCTGTGTGCAGCTATTTTTCCATATACAGAGAAAGGCAATGAACTCAGAGCCAAAAAATAATAAAGTACTAATAAAAAATAGCCGAAATTCCAGCTGGAGGCACGTGATCTGTCCTTATATGTACACTGATTGTTTCGCCCATGTTTGTCTTTGTGACCCTGCTCATTTTTGTGTATGAGGTCCTGATGATAGAAGAAATTTTGAGAAACATTTGATTAGAAAGAATAAATCCAAGTGCTGACCCAATTGATAATCCAATTGGATCAGAGAAGAGACTTTAACTTATTTTATAGCCAAAAGAACCTATCCTCAGCCTAATGCATAGGGCAAAATTAAGTATCGTTTAGTGTAAAATGAATTAATCAGATTAACTTGGAATTTCAGTTTTTGACAAAGACTTCTTGGAGGTGAACATTCAAAGCATGAGGAAAGCCTTTTGCTCGCTGCCCAAACCCTCCCAGCGCAGCAGACCCACCTTGCTGAAGTGTCCTCAACCCTTGGCGAGAGCGTCACGTGCAAGAGGCCGGGTGCTATCTGAACTGCAATGTGTAATGCATTAATTCAAAGCATAGTGAGAAGGGAATGAGGAAAACTGTGGGTTTAGTAGTATAAAACAAATGTTCTTCAGTTATTGAAGAAATCAGATGCTTTCAAGCTGCAGAAAAGTCGCTGATAAGACACGTAATGTTCTGAGGGTGAGGGGCACCGTGTGGGTGACACCGTGTACTGGTTATATAGCTGATGTAACCCATACATTGCGCCTTTATAAATTATACCTTTTCTCCACACTGATAATTTTTTGATGACTTATGTTTTTTTCTGACTTTTTGAGTTACCAGAGAAAGAGAAAGTGATAGGCAATTTTGTTTCCTAGTTGCTCCTTATTGAAATTGCCTACTGTAATATTCATGTTGTGCAAGTAAGAAATCCTACGTTGTGGTGCCTTCCCTTCCAGGAACTCCAGCATTGCTTGCGTGTCCTGGAACTGACACATTCCTAAAACTCTTATCAACAATTCAGCAAATTTGGGACATTTTCCAAGTTAATAGTTTAAAAAGGCCCACGTGTTTAGACTTCCTTATTACTGACTGCAAACAAGGGCACTTAGACCCTCTTGCTTCCAAAGCCTTTTGCATATTTAAGTTTTTGAATAATTACTAATGAACATTACAAACTTCTGCAGATGAAGGGAAATAGATACGAGAAGTGGGAAATCTAACCCTCTGTTGCTTGTGTTAGTGATGGTCTTTTGATGCCATGATGCTCTAAAGCATCCTTACTACAGGTCAAGGAATATGTTGATGATTCTGAACATATTTGGTGTCGATATTAGGAATTCTTTCCTTATGGAAAATACAGATATGGAATATTCTGTGACTCTCTTTAATGCTTATATATCAGAGATTGGGAACTACAGCCACTATGGATGGAAACAGATAACAACTTTTTACACTTAGGGTTTTTATATTAGTGAGGAGTTTGGCCACCAGACGTGCCCTGAGCTGCAACACACCTCCGTTTGCCCATGGTTGCTGTCTGCTAGAAGCAGAGCTTGGCTGCCATTGGGTTTCCACATCAAAACTCTTGTCTCGTAGGCTGCTTTATGGTTATGAAAATAATAGCACTTAGTCTACTATATGGTAGACTAAGGATGATTGTCCGAGGGCCAGCGGTGCGCTGCTC